GTTCCTTCTAGCTGATAAAACCACTCCAACTGAGCTCCCGACAGGCTGTCTTGAAAGAAATGAATCCATAGGTTTTTATCTGCCGTATAGGGTTGAATCTTTCTCACGTAGGACCTGAGATGCATTTTGGGGCAGGACAGCCCATCGTACCTCACAAACACTGGCACTTTGAATTTTGGGGGAATCACAATCCCGTCAACCAAACCTAAGTCTTCAAAATCCAAACCCGGTACTCTTTGTAATTCCATGGCAGCCAATCTGTCTTCTAAACCCTTGTACTTATCATCAGCTGGAGGATATTGCTGGTTAGAATAATCTTCATCCTCTTCCACCTCTTCTTCCTCTGCATCAGACTCGGAAGGCACCGCAACTCCATCTCTTTTACTAGTCCCTTCATCAGAAGTAGGAGGAAATTCAAGCACTCTCCGAGCTTCTCCGTCAAATCTTCTCCCCAAAGTAGCCACCCCAATCCTCTTTTTCTTCTTCTTCACTGGGTCCTTATTCCCCAATTGAGTCTTGATATCCTGCTGACTCTTAACCAAAGTCATCAGGAGTTGCTGGAACTGTGCATTCTGGGCTTGTAGGTCTTTGACTGTTTGCTCGAGATCCATCCTACTGAAATAAACAGCAGACAGATAAGGAAACCTGGAGTGAGACCTGCTTATGCACATGATGAATGATATGCTTGTGTATGCAATGCATTCAAGGATTTAGAACATTCAAAATTGTTTCAGACAAAGAAGAACGCATGTCATATTAATAAGAAGAAATTTGTTAGTACATAAATGCCCCATGGGCCAAATATTACAAAATAAACTTCTTAAGGCAGAAAGACATTGCGCATCCTCTTTGGTGCGATGTAGGTGTTGAGGGCCTCTTGCTCATGGAGTTGGCGGGTAAGCTCTAGAACCTTCTTTTCACTGGCGTAGTAGCTAGCTTCGAAAGTGTTCCGTTCCTCCTTGAGCTGAATCCAACTTTTCTGCATTTCCTCCCACGATGTAGGCATGTCTGGATGTAGGATGGTGTAGGGAACCTCTCCTTCATTGACGGGCTCTTTAATCACTGGGAGTACATGAGGATAAGGCATCAATAGACTTTGGGCTCGGGCTCGTACCCACTTGAGATAGGGCTCAAGAGGGATGGAGTTCTTGTGTCCCAGAGTCTTGCTATCGACCTTGTTGAGTTTTCCCCAAGCTCTGATGAATCTTTGGCGAAGTCCTTGCGCATCGTTGTCGAAGTCAAAAACTAGGCTAGGAATCAACATATCATGAGGGCCATCCCTCCGTGCATATCCAAATTGCCTCAAAGCTAGGCAAGGGTTGTAGGTGATACCTCCCCTAATTCCAAGTAAAGGAACATTAGGAAATTCTCCGCAACGATCGACGATGATGACATTTTCTCTGGACCGAGAACACCAATGCACATCAGAATGAGTAAGAGCCATCAACCGTTGGGACCACCTCGTACCTTGGTCATTCTTCAAGACAGATTGTGGAAGGTGCGAAATAAACCACCTTGCAAGGATAGGAGTACAGCACATGAGAACACCCCTCTTTCTCATTGTTCGTGTGTAAAATGAGTGAAGGATGTCCCCAAGCAATGTTGGTATTGGATTTTTGGACAAGAAGATTTTGACGGCGCTGACATCTACCAATTGGTCAGGATTTTGGAACAAGACCAACCCGTAGATGAGGAGTGCCACAATTTCTTCAAAGGCTTGTAGGTCCAATGAATTCCAACATTCTTGTGCCTTTTCAAACAATAATTTTGCTAAGAATCCTTTGACGCCGCTTCTGGTTTCCCAATGCCCTTTGATGTCAGATGGTTGTAGATGTAATGCTCGAGCAACATCTTCCGGCTTTGGTTCCTTTTCCGTACCGTTGAAGGGTAGTTGATTAAGGATAGGGATTCTTAGGAGCTGAGAGAACTCCTCCAAAGTGGGTACCAACTGATAATCAGGGAAAGTGAAGCAGTGGTGAAGAGGGTCAAAGAACTGGAATAGAACTTTCATCATGTCTTCTTCAATGTTGGTGTTGACTAGGCTGAGCAGTCTACCATGTCTTTCACTGAAGGATGAATTTTCCGGAATTCTTGAGGTGAGCTCTTTGAGTTGAGGAGAAATTCTCACAAGGTTGACTTGAATGGTATTTCTGCAAGGAATTTCCATGACCTACAAAACAGGAACAAAGATGAAGATCCAAACCCTTGAAATGGTTAGTAAATGCATATGATGCTTCATGATGTTTATGATGTATGCACAAAACATATGTACAAGCAAATCACACCAAACCCTAGTTTCAGGCTTGCATGGGGTTTCATAGGTAAGTACCCTCTTGAGTGTAGTTAGCTTAAAAACCTGTCCTATAAATAGTAACCGGGTTCTAAGGAGCTCAATATCATTGGATTGTTTTCATTATTCATTGTTTTGGTTTAGCCACTTAACTAGCGACCAAAATATTCCAAGAAAACAACCCTCAATGAGTGTAGTATCGAGTATCTACCAACTTCGGACTGCACCAAAGCCGGTCATCTCACTACCCCTAATAAAAGGCCAAGATGGTCAAGTAAGGTTCTAGGTCATTAATGCTTAGTGACATCACTCAGCGGCCCCGTACTCTCCTTGATTGAACTCAAGGGTTACCGGTACTCACAAATATGTCGCACTAATATAGCTATTGCTTAGACCGTGTCGGTATACCCCGCACAGTTTCCACAACGTATTGCTATCTATGAATGTTTCCCAAAATCCGGGTGTAGGATTGCAAACCCAAACAATAGAGCCAAAGTATAAAGCAAGCAAATCAAACAATTAGTCATGCAAGAGGGTGATCTAAGCCCTAAGGTTACTCCACTTTTAAAATTATCCCCAGCAGAGTCGCCAGTTCTGTGATACGGCGGGAGAACTGACTATGGTTTTGCGTTTGTTTTCGCAAATGTTTCGGTTGAGCAAGAGTCGCCACCGACTTTTTATTTTATCCTAAGGAAAGGTTTAAAAAGCACAGCAAAAACCTTTGAGATTTTTCTTGGGTCGGGGAGTAGATTATAGAAAGGGAAGGTATTAGCACCCTTTCTATCCATGGTTATCCATGGGCTCTTAGGTACTTGCTTAGATCAACTTGCCTTAATTGTTTGAAATGGTGCTCGATGTGTGGTTTTGAAAAATGTTTTTGAAAAGATGCCTTGTGTAGGCTATCCTTGTAACAATTCTTTACTCGAATGTTTTACAAAGAGGTGTTTTGTCTTTTAAAAAAGATGTTTCAAGGTTTTTTGAAAGTTGGTTTTGAAAGTGTTTGTGAGGTGGGTTTTGAAAATAGGCAAGTGTTTTCTTGGCAAATTGACAAGTACTTAAGAGTTATCTACCCTAAAGTTTTCTCAAAGATTTTTGTTATGTTTTAAACCTTTTTTGACAATTTTGTTCCACCATTGCATTTGGTGGACAATCTTGTATTAGGAGGTGAAAGAGACAGGCGCGGATCATCGTTTAGACCATAATTGCAATAGTGTTAAATGTCTTTGGGCAATTTTCTTTAAAAGGGACTTGATCATTCATTTAGGCAACATTTTGAGGGACTATGATCATTTGATTGTTTGTTTTACCCAAAGAAATTCAACATGCAATATGGCCCAATTATTTGAAGGCAACAAAGTGGAATACCCTAGGGGTGCAAGTGTGACATGTGTTGTCCATTTTCATGCTTGTTTGTCTTGTATTAAGTCCAACTATTTTGTTCGTTTTATTCGCATACAAACCCTAATTCTAGCATAGTATGTTTAGAAAGCATTTAAAGTGCGAAATTTAAATTCCTACGCTATTACAACACAATAATATGGGGAGGGGGGTACAATGTTCAAGTGGGGAGATATTTGGACAAGAAATTGAATCTAAGCTATTACATCATTTGCTTTCACTACAAGAAAATTAGTGTTTAACGACACAAAAATTGCGACAGTTATGTGATAACTGTCGTAATTGACATATAGAGACAGTGTTTACGACAGTTGACACCAACCGTCCCTAATATTTATTTTGCGACGGTATATTTAACCATCATAATATTATTATTACGACGGTAAAACAACCGTCGGCCCCCATTTAACACTTTTAACATTGATTTTTCACCAACAACTAGTCACGACGGTAAAATTAACCGTCCTAAAAGGCATATCACGACGGTAAAGCACCCGTCGCACCCTTAAACCTTTCACGACGGTAAAATTATCCTTCCTATAATTCATTTCACGACGGTAAAACAACCGTCGCACCCAAAACCTTTAAAAATTCTCATGGGCACGACGGTAAAACACCCGTCGCCGTAAAAAAGTTAAAAAGCTCTTAAAATACATAAAACATCAATTTTTTTGGTAAAACAATTATAAAGTTTTTAAAAAATTATATATTTTTTTAATAAAATTATGCATACTGTATCAGTATCCGTGCAAACGCACAAATATTTCACTAATTTATCATAAATATATTTTCAAAAATTAGAATTACATTATAGTAATACTTAAAATTGCATAAAATACACAAAATAATTAAAATGTGATATTCAAAATAAGTCAAAATAATTACTTATAAAATAAAAGAGATTCAAAAAATTGAAATTGAAATAACCGCGATTAAAAATATCAAAATCAACACTTATATAATTAAAAAAAAAACTAAAAATATCAAAGTTATCATTTATATAATTAAAAAAAAACTAAAATATAATCACTCAATAACCTATAAATTTTATGGATTAGATGTGAATTTATTTATAACTCAATCATTCTAAATGAATTTTTACTCACGGTGCCGTTCATGCCGTAGGAGTGTTTGTCACAAAAAATAATATAGGAGAGAGAGAATCAAAAAAGGAAACTTTTGGAAAGAAAGTAAAGTCGAGGGGTGAAAATGAAAATAAAGATAGAGTAACATTCACTTCACTCCCAGCAAAAAGGGTCTTATCATTATCAATTCATCACACTTCGGCGAAGGGACAAGCACTGGATCTTCCATGCCGTCACTATCTGAGAATCATCTTTCCATGGCCGCATGTCTATTGGTATACTGAAATGGAGCAGGTACTTTTTAAGTAACTCTTTCTGAGGAACATAAGAAGAAAGAAATGGATGCCCTCTCCGGCTGTTCATAGTCACGAATCACCACTGGCTTTCATTTGTACCTGATCCTCCTCCCCAATCACATATACTTCTCTACTTCTGCTTGCAGTGATAATATCACATGCGGAAGCGCGCATACGCTAGAAAGACGTATAAGCAAGCCTTTCTTTATGAGTATGAGTCAACCAAGCCGCTTCAGAGAGGTCCCTCAACTCTCTCAACAGTCCAAGGTTAGTCTTTCCCTAAAACCCTAATCTTCTTCCATTTTTCAGATCACACTTTAATCTCCCTGTTTAATTTTTATCGATTCTTGTTATTTCGTCGATTCAATTTAGGTTAAATGAAATTGTTCAATTTAGGGTTTGGGCGAACATCGGTTTAATTGCTCTGTAGAAAGAAAATTCAGATAATGAAACTGTAATTTATAAGCTTGATATTGCACGGTTTTAACAGTTTAGGTTTTTACATCAAGCATCTTTGTCTTCAAACCTGTAAGTTTTGTGTAGCACTTTTTCTTTATTCTGTAACACTTCACATATCTCTCTCATTCTCGCATATAACCACTTTTCTGTAACACTTCACATATCTCTCTCATTCTTTAACATTGACTTAGCATTGGAGATTCACTTGAATCTTAGGGTTGGTTAATTTTGAGTTTCAATAGATTGAACCGATGTTAGGTTTTCTAATATGTTATTTCAGGGTTTTATTCATTTTTGTGAATTTTATAAATTATCTTTAAATTGAAATATAGTACTGTTGTAGTTGAATTTGTGGTTGTTTGTTTAAGCTTATTTAGTAAAAATAAGTGATTAATAAGAAATTATAGTTAGAAACCCTTAGTTTTGTTCATAGATTGGGTGTTTTATATGATGTAATTTAACAATGCTCTAGTATCACAACTATTGCCTTTCAAATTGGGTGTTTTTATTTAGTTTTGTATTTAGTTTTTCTTTCCATTTTCACTCATTACCAATAACAGGTTATTTCTCTGTCTGTCACCGGGGCTTTGAATGCAGTCGTAATATATGAGCATAGAAAGGAAATGCAGTGTTACCTCTATAATAATCATGTAAGAATTTCACTCTATCTTTCACACTAATTAATAAGTTTTTTCAGCAAGTTTTTTCTACACTGATGGATGTTCTCAGTTTGTAATTTTGAAAAGTAATGCTTGTAATTTGCAGACTTATAAATTTATTACAGACCAAACGGTCTTTTTTCAAGGACAATATTGGACCTCCACTCCTGATTGTATTTGCATTGATCTCTTTGGTTACATTTTCAGAAACCCAAAAGAAGAGCATCTGTATCTTATGGGGGAAGGTCTGGTGGCTTGCCAGAGAAATCACAACGCTCCCGCAGTATGTCTGTTAGTCCTGACCGGGCTCGTGCGCGAGGAAGATCTCCGGCCTTCAATGCCTTGGCAGCTACTTTCGAGAGCTCAAATGTTAGAAACCTTTCAACTCCACCTCCAATGATTAGAAAACTGTACCCAAAATCTAAGACACCAGATTCATCATCACCAACATCTAAATCTTCATCCATATCTAACATTACTTCTGCTTTTGAACGGCCATCAGCACGAGGAAGTTTGTTTCCTAGGTCGATTAAAGGTACGAAGTAGACGAGCTCATTGTGATTTTATTTTATGCTGCTGTTAGAATTTGTTCTTTTATAAAATATGCTTATTCTTTTGTCTGGTCTGCTATGATTTGAATGGAGTACAGGTACCTCCAAATCGGACCCAGAGACAAATAGTGACAATGAGAATTCTACGAGCAGCATAGAAGAATCTCTTACTATACAGGAAGATGTGAAAGAAGGTGAAGCTGAAGATAATGAAGGTCTTCCAGTATACCCATATGAAAGTGTTAACACAGACTCTACCAATCCTATGCCAGACATTGACGTGACTAAACGGGAGGTATACTATAACGACAACATGTCTTTTTGTTGTTTTTCCTCCATTCTTTGTAGGTTACATCTTAGAATTAAGTCATGATTTTTTAATTTTGATTCTGACTTGTTTGAGGTTGGTGCATGCAGGCTTACCTGTCAAACGACGTGTTCAAAGAGAAACTGGGAATGGCCAGGAGCGAATTTTACACGTTGCCAAAATGGAAACAGAACAAACTCAAAATGGCTGTTCAGTTGTTCTGAGTCAAGTATACTTAACCACATGATTTTCTTTGTAGTGGTTTGATGTATAGGCTTATTTCTTTGTTCATAGCTGCTTGGTATTAATTTTGTGTAGGGAAACAAGGGCTGTTGGTGAGCATGTCTTTTTGGGTTCCTTGTTAGTCATTTTTTAATTCAAATATTTTTGGTGAAGCAATTGAGCTTTGCAATACCAAGGTTGTATTGATAGTTGAGGTATAAAGTTTGTACAGCAGAGTGTAAAAGCCACTCAACTCATTATATTTATTTTGGAAATAAAATATGATTCTTTAAAATTATTCCTTCTAAGAGCGTCATCTGATATAGATCATTTTGATCGTATCTTACCAGTCTTTCTCTTCCTATGGTACATGTTTTGTTTATATGTTTAATAAATAACATTAGTAGGAACACTTCTCTATGGTTTGAAATATGATGAAGTTTGTGAATAAATAACATTAGTAGGAACAGTTAATAATTGGGAATATGGCCTCAATACAAAGAACTAGCTTTCTTGTTATTTTCTTTTCTTCTGATACATGATATAGTAGTACATGATAAGCTTGGTAGACTCTGCTGTTAGTAATTGGTTTAATCTATTTAATGACTCAGTTATTTATTTTTCCTTGCCTGTGTTAAATACTTGAGTAGAGGCCAGAGAATAAGCTTGGAGATGATGAAACGTGGGATAGGGCTGAAAGTGCTCTCAAGGAGGCTTTGGATGAGTTTGGCAAGCCATGGCAGGTATATGCTTTTCATGTTTTGAATTCAATTATATGTTTCTTGATACTATTTTTTATATTCTCATACATTCTTTTATTTTTTGTATATCTGTTTTATTATTTTCAATGTAATGCATCATTTGTTAACTTCAATTATGTGCTTATAATCCAAATAAAACTCTGCAGTTGAATGAAGGGGATGGTGCATTCTATGGACCAAAGATAGATATCAGTGTATCTGATGCATTGAGTAGGAAATTCCAGTGTGCAACTCTACAGGTTTACACTCTTTGGCTTGACTTGCATTCACATGGTTCAGTTGTTAATTATTTTTACTGATAATTGGATAAATTGGCTCCTTGCAGCTTGACTTCCAACTTCCTGATCGTTTTAAGTTGGAATTCTCAGCTGAGGATGAAGCCAAAATTGAGAGGCCTGTTATGATACACATAGCCATTCTAGGATCAGTTGAACGCATGTTTGCCATACTTTTAGAGCACTACAAGGGTAAATGGCCCTTCTGGCTCAGTCCTCGTCAAGCAATTTTGTGCCCTGTTTCTGAGAAATCACAAGCTTATGCTCTGAAGGTACACATCTCTGTTTCCTAACTTTAGTCTGTCTATATTTATCGAAGTCATATGATAACAGTTAGGATGGGGTGATGATGTGTACAATTGCATCAAATCCTTGAACCAATTTGTTTATTTTGAGTCGCAACAAGCCTTTTTAGATATACTTTTTATGTGGTAGCTTCTTCATGAAGTTTGAGCAATCTTCCTTGAATAGTTCTATTACCTAACTTTGTTATTGTTCTAATTCTGTTTTATGAGTATTATTTTAAAGATAATTACTTTAATACCTTTTTTTAGGGATTGGAATCACCCGCTGATGGTAGACGTTCATCTGAGTCTAGCTACCGTATTGGAGATAATGGAACTTCAGGGGGGACAAATTAGACTTTGCTATGATCGAGATAATTAGATTATGAACTTTCTCATGTATTTTTGGCATAATGATACTTATTATTATAAGATTAGGAATTGATATATTTTGGGTTTTTTGTACTACTTGACATGATTATGGAACTCGCATTTTACATGATTATGGAACACACATTTTTTTGGATATTATAATGCTTATTTGATGTTAAATATTTTTTATTGAAATTATTTTTACTATATTACAAAGTGATAGAAAATAAAACAAAAAATAATACTATAAATAAATATATTAAAGGAGAAATAATTTAAAGAAAAAAATAACACAAAAAAAAACTATATTTAAAATTTTTTACATAGATAATAATTTAAATAAAAAATATATATAATAGAAAAATAAAAAAAAATCAAGACATAAACAAAACTCATGGTGACAGTACCGAACCGTCGTAATCAACAATTAAAAATAATCAACAAAAGTCATGACGGTATCGAACCGTCGCCATAAACAATTTAATCAATTTCAAAAGATATTCACGACAGTATCGAACCGTCGCCATCAATAATTAAAAGAAACTCAAAAGATAGTCACGACGGTATCAACCCGTCGTAAATTTGAACGACAGTTTTTGTAACCGTCGCGAAATAGGTTGGGGACACACACTTCTGCGACGGTAAAGCAACCGTCGTGGAAAGTAAATTGCGACGGTTTTAACCGTCGTAATCTACAAAAACACCTGTCGCAATCTGCCAATTTTCTTGTAGTGAATTTGAATATTTACAATATGATTAAAAGCATAAATAAAATAGAGATAAGATAAATATGCAAGAATGCAAAAAAAAGAATTTTTATATGTATGAAAAAAGTATTATTTATGTAAAATAAAAAGAAAATAAAAAGGTATTATTTTTGAGGTATTTTCAAATTTAGTGTAAAAACCCTAATTTTTAATCAAAGGGGTATTAATCAATTATTTATTATTTACATACAAAAATAAAATAAAATATGGTATATTTGTAAAAAGGGGATTTTTTAGTATTAAATATTAAAAAATAAAATATGTACATTTTTTTTGGTATTTTTATCCTAAACACATTAATATATACCTATATATTCATATTATTTATAAAACATGTATTACATATATTAATTAATAATATTTAATATTTAAATAAAAAGTATTTTTTCTATAAAATAATTTTCAGGAAGTAAAAATAAGATAAAAATGTGTATAAAAATATATTTTGTATTATCTTAATATTTTAAACAAAAAGTATATATATATGTTTATTTATTTATGTACAAACAAAAGAAACAATCAAATAAATACTCAATAAATTCAAAAAATGATGAGAAAAATATTTTTATGTTTTTAATATGCTGAGAAAAAATAAATGAACCAATCAAAAAAAAGCAAAAGTCAAAAATATTAAAAATGAATGAAATGGGCTCAGGGGGTGCAAAACAAAAATCATGGTGTGAAAAGGAAAGTCAACATAGGCCCAGCCCATGAAGACCCTTCTTCAACCTCTGTACAACAACATTCAAAAAACGCGCGCCCTGTACTCCATCTTCTAACTCCTGATTCCTGGCTTTTCAATGAAAACTCATAACATAAAAAATGTTCAGCATGAAGAGACGAATCCAACCATATGCAAAACTTGATCTAACTCTCTAAGATGAGGGAGAATTTCTTCTCCCCCAAATCCTAACCTAGATTTTCTGCCATTTTCAAACCTCAAATTCTCACAGCTCAAGCAAAAGAAATGAAAAGTAAAAACATGTACATGTTCAGTGGCATGAGTAGAACATTGTTTATTCACAAACTTAAAGCTAATGATGCCTAATAAGAGAGATACGAGTTCACCAAGATACCTGTTCAGCTGAAGTTCTATCTGGCAATGAGGGAGCTTTCAGTGCAAGGTGATGATTGGAAAAGCTTCCTTGAGGTCCAGGGATGCTATTCCAATGTTTACTTTGTTTTGAAAGCTTCTGAATCGTGCTAGAGCACTTCACCTGCAAAAAAAGAAACTGAAAATGGTAGAAGTGGTTAGAGGGATTACAGGTCGTGTTTCAAGGCATGGTTAGCTTGCATAGGTGCTAGGGAATGTATGTGAACTGGTTTGGGCAAGAGAGCTTGAGAGAAATGGAAGTTGGCACTCAAACTGCAGGCCTTGCCCTGTTTTTGCAGTTTGAGAATGATTATGGCAAGGGGAGTGTTTGAGAGGTGCTAGGGTCGTGCAAAAGCTTGGTTCTGATCTTTGGAATGTGTTTGATAAGTTTGTCTAAGTGTGCCTAAGCTGATATGAGAGTTGTTGTAAGTTATGGTACTTTTCTTCACTCTTAAGTAAGCAAAGCCAACTTGGTGTTTTAGGCAAGTAGGGGGCCTCTAATGAGCTGCATAACCTCTCCTTGATCAGAGTGATTTGTCCATAATCTTGTGCCAATTGGATTTGGTTTGTACTTGTTGGATTTGTAATTGGACATAAAGTGAAACTTTTGCAAAAATGGAAAGAATGCTTTATCTAATTTGGGATTAATCCTTCATACAATGCCTTAGCTCATGAAACAAGGTCTTAACACAATGGACATGCATTAAATTATTGAGTGTTGGATGGTTTTAGGACCTGTAATCAAGGGCATGCTGGTTTTGAGAAGTTTGCACAACTTATGAACATGAAAAATGGCCAATTAAAAAGTGAGTTTTTGCCAAATTGTGAAATTCGAATCTCTCAAGTCATGAGGTTGTTTGATGAGTTCTTGAACATTTTGGAAAGCTTGGAATGTGTACTACAATCCATCTTTGAAATGCAAATTGAAATTACAAGTGGAAGTGTATGTAAAATGGCCTTGAAGTGGGGTAGAAAACCTTGTCAAAATAGGTCAAAAATTCACTAAGTTAAGAATGGTTTAGTGCCCTTATTCAAAAATTTGTAACTTGAGATACAAGCCTCAAATGGGAAAACTTTGTGAATCAAAGTTGTAGGTTATGCAACAAGCTACAACTTTCATGTTTTGACTTTTGTTTGAATCCAAATGGATCTTGGTGAAAAAATGGGGCAAAGTTGGAAAAAAAATTAGGGTTTTTTATAACTTAGAAAAATTCTAAGTTATGAAAAATTCAAATTTCTAACCCTAATTTGCATTTTGTGATTTCTTGATGAACAAGTTTCATGATTTGGCATGTTTTGATGAAAAATGAATCTTGACTCTTGATTTTGACCAAAAAGTCAAAGTTTGACTTTTCAGTATACAGTCAAAATTGATCAATTGACTGGGAAATTCAACTGTCAATCTTGTGTACTTGGGATCTTTTGAGTTTGTTGAGCATGTCAAGATAATTCCATGGGGTCCTTGAGTCAATATGTGAGCTTGGTTTGCCATTGGCTAGGTCAAACAGTCAAAAATTGCCTTTGTACAGTCAAAATCCTAAAAATGACCATTTTGCCCTTTTGGTGATCTGATCAAATTTCTTATGGAATTGTGACCCAAACTTGATCAAATAGTCCATATGAGTTCATAATGTTGATGTGGGTCAATTTTCATGAGGTTTGACTGTCAATTGGCCACAGTTGACTTTTTCCCAATACAATTGATTTTTAGGTCAACTGTCCAATTGACTGGGCAAAACTTGGAATCAAAGTTTGAAACTTGGTATGGATAAACTTGGGAGTCCAATATGAAGCATGAAAGTCATCTTAGGCATTTTGGGTCAAAACATCTTGGTGCAAACACAAACCCTAATTTGAGTCAACAGTGCAAGGAGAGGTCTTGAGCAGATGAAACCCTAACTGGATCTTGGGCTTCAAAGGTTTTGTGATGAGAAATCATTGAGAAATAGGAGGGCAAATTTTGGGGTACAACAAGAGGCTTTGGTTTTATCAATCCTCTAATGAGTTTCAAATACAAGTTTCAAGATGGTTATTCAACTAACCACTAATTTCTAACAATTGACTTTATTTTATACTTTTACTTTATGCTCTTTACTTTAAGAACATTTATTTTAGCATTTACATTTCATGTTATTTTCATCTTTGCTCACTTGAGCATTTACCTTTATGTCATTTTATTTTGCTCACTTGAGCTTTTCATTTCTTTTTGAAGATACCTAATAATTAACTTGAACCATAAAAAACTTTAATGTTACTTGGACTACTTGGACACTATCATTGGCATTATGAAGTGATGGACTTCTTGGACTTAGGAGTAGAGACCTTGACCACCCTTGAGACCTTGTGACTTATATTGTTATTTTGTCTGGAGTTCTTGGGGTTTACCCCGAGACGTTGTGTTGTTTGTTTTCTTTCTGTGCAGGTTATTCTGGTTATGTGTTTTGCTGGTGATTGGGAATTCATCTGTATACAGCCGTTACTCTGTCCAATTTTTGTGAAGACTTAATGCCTTTGAATCTTGGTTTTCTTAAGAGGTTTTATTATCTTTTCTTGTTTAGTTTCAAATCTAAAAGATCAGAATTCTACATTGACTCATTATGTCAAATATTGGCTTCTTGTTAGTTAGATGGTTCTTTTCCCTAGCTTTTATTTTATGCTTTAGGATAGTCCCTCCATCTCCTCCCATATTATTTAATTTCAAAAATCTTCTCCCTTCTTTTAAAAACTCTTCTTGCTTTAAACTCGAACCTCTTTCACAATAAACTTGGACTAATGCC